TTTTCTCTCACATTCTTGTGTCAAGCCACTCTACTACTAATTTTTTTCCTGGTTATGATCTAATAGTTGGCAAAGATCTACTTACAGGAGGCAGGGTTTATTTAACTTCAGATATAGAAACACAAGTCAACCCAATGGGAGGAAATAATGGCATGGACATCAGCAGAGTTGTCATGTTGGTTATATGGCATTTGTCATTTCAATATTCTTCTGACATTTCCTTGACCTATCCAAGTAGCACTAATGTAATCTCAAGCATGTGTCTGTAGTCAGAGTGTCAAGTTTCATTTTAGGTGCCCTGACAGATACAGTCATCTGTGGTTCTTTCTTCTTGACTTTAGCCAGAGTATCTGCATGTGAACAGGCCAATATTCATGCCTGTCTATTGGACCCCCTGACACATTCAAACTCAATGAGTGTGATCCCCAGGCTCCTTGATATTTGACTCTTCCATAAACTGTCCAGTGGGCCCCTGATAATAGTACTCTATAAATTGTGAATAAATGGAGTCCCTGTGTTCACAAATCTAGTCTGCCTTGAAGACTGTCACAGGAAATTTCTCCACTAGGTTGACACATACCAACACCACATATCTCTCATTTGAAATGGAAGACCAGTCTTTCAGAAACAGGGCTCTTTGCCCAGATGCCGTATCCACTGTGGGTCCCCCCATCTACTATCGCCTGGTCTCCATGTGGGAAGAGTGGACTGTTCCCTTCCTTTCTCCACATTGCCTTTCTAGTTTCCTCTTTATATGGGTCCTGACTCCTTTGTGGATTCCAGTGCTCTTCCTTTCTTGCATGCCAAAGAATGAACTCCCCCTTTGTTACCATGAACCTTTATACTCATCTTGTACCATGGAAACATTGTCTATACTTTCATCCACACTGAGATTTCTCAGCTTTATAATTTTTATTTTTTAAGATTATAAATGTGAGTCCAGCATTATTACCCATTGTCTTTAGGTTGCTGAGTTCCAAATTTCTTTTTACATTGTGATATCACACACAATGAAGAATTTAATTTTTAATCAAACAGGTGTTATATTCCAAACTGTGAAAATAGTGATGTCAAAGTTAAGTAATGCAAAAAAATGCTTCTATTCAGAGCAGGGGGTGTCTAACACTGAGACAAGCTATTGGCCAAGGTACATGGAATACCAGTGGATAATGATCAGTCTTCGGGACATTTACATCGTATTGCCTCCTCACCAGTTCATGGATCACTGTGGAGAAGTAGAAAGATTCTAAGGGACAGACAGTGTTGATTACTTCTAGGAAACAGTGTCCTCGGTACACAACAAGGCAGCTGAGTCATGAACTCACATTAAGTGTGACAGCATGCACAAGCCTAGTGCAAGCACACAGGGGACCACATTCCTGCATTGAGATTGGAGGTAGCCATGAAGAGGAGTAATTGTCATTTGACACATGCATGGGGAGAAATAGTATGAAATTTCATCTATAGTTATACCCTGGGTTACTCTACTATGTTCTACATATATGTGGACAGGACTCATTTTACTCAATGGTTGAAAACTAGGACAGAAAGTTTTAGGGATACAGACAGGTGTTAGAGCTAAGGTAACTGAGAGGAAGGGACCAAGTGCAAATCTCAAAAGAAATAATAACAAGAAATAAGTAATTCCGTGATCTTGTGTCAAACC